CCTACTCGATTGCCATTGGCCACCGGAACTGGTAGCTCTTGGGGCGATGTTTTGCCTGTCGTCTCCATTGACAGCATTTCTGGGGAACCGCGAGAGAAATCGGTGGAGCATGTTGCAACTGAGACACTGGGAAGCTTTGAGTCTTGACTGTTATTTCAAGGCATCAATCTTCGTTTTACTTCTGCATAGTGGATTGAAAGACTTCGCGCACACTGTGGCACACAAGCGCATGCAAATCATCATTTTGAGCATATTTGTGCGATACTGATAAAGTTTCCCTAAAAATCTAAGAAGCAGAAGCGAAGTTGTAGCTAGTAGCTACGCCTACCTCTCTTCTCCTCTTCTAGCGGCATACCCCCCCTCGGGCTTAAAGAAACTAGACAAACTAGACGACAGGGTGGCCCGAAAGCACAGCGGGAGATGACAGAGGTAACGATGAAGTACAAAAGTGGAGTTCCATGTTCCATGAAAACTTAATAAAAAGGAACGGAATTGCCCATGGTTCAAGAGACATTCTTTCGAAATTGCAAGTTCACAATGTTGACCTACCAAATGTATTGCAATTCTCACCGCTCCCAAGCCTGGCCTCATCATCTCGGATGTGGCCATCCATCTCCCGATCGGCCTAAGAGACGGGATCATTGCAAGCCCGCTCGGCCCTGCCTCGTTACTCAACTAAGTAGGCACCCAGTCAATTAAGTAAGGGAGAAGTTCGCTCCTAGCTACTGGGCGCTACTACTTACTACATATGGACGCAGGATAGCTCACGCTCGCACTAATCATTTGGATTCCAGATCTTTAGGGAAACTTAACTACTGTAATGAGGTCTCTCCAAAGCGGCCCGGAAGGAGCCCAGTGGTGAGGATTGGAGATGATGTTGATCATGATGAGGATGAGGATCTGGATGGATGATGATGAGGATGATGATGCTGGTGGTGGTGGTGGCGGTGGTGATAATAGTGATGAGATGTGATGAGGTGTGATGAGGATCATAACGGTGCTAATACCAAGCCTCGTGGACACCGCGAATCATCCCGCTCCCCACGCTGAATTTATACCAGCATGTTTTCCTTCCCCCCATGGCACGGACTGAGGCAAATGCGCTTTCAACCGCAGCTGCGCAAAACCGCATGGCACAGCGATATCACAGACGTACTGTAATTGGAACACCCCGCCCCGCACTACATTTGCGCTATGTACGAAGTTGCCAGTTCCGAGGCCACAGCTTGTAGAACTTTATCCCCGCACATATTTGTACTACCAAGTCGCCCTTCTGATGCCCACAAGCTGCTGCTACCAAGTGGCCAGTTGTCTGGCCACAGCTTCCAGAAGCTGCTTCCGTATTGCCACTACCAAACTACTTTCGTTCTACAAAACAACCAGTTCTGAGTCACGCGGCAACTTCGACGTTTGTTTTCGACGATAGTCACACACTTTGGCAACCTCTACCTTCGTTTTCGACGACAGTTACATTGGCAACTTCCACCTTCGCTCCCGGCGACAGTTGCACACTTGGGCCACCTCCACCTTCGTTTTCGACGACATTTACATTGGCAACGTCCACCTTCGTTTCCGGCGACAGTTATATACACACGTGGGCCACCTGCACCTTCTTTAGTTACACACTTCGGCATCCGCCACCTTCGTTTGCGACGACAGTTGCACACTTCGGCCACCTCCACCTTCGTTTTCAACGACCGCTTCACACTTTGGCAGCTTTCGCCTTGTTTTCGACGAAAGTTACACACTTTGGCACTTTGGCCGCCACCTGCGTTTTCGACGACAGTTGCACACTTGTACGTCAACAGCCTTCGCTTTCGGCAGCAGTTACTCACCTTGAAACACTATTCCCATTTCAACTCACGGTTGCGCACTTGACACGCACGATCTCCGGAGAGGGGTTCACTGCGCTCAGACAAGATTTGCATTTCGCCTCACGTTGGAACACTCGACGCGCACGATCTCCGCAGAGGGTTAATTCCTCAGTTGTGATCACGATTTGCATAATATGACCACACTTTCGTGCATCCGACACGCACGCTTTCCGCCGAGGGTTGGGTTTCGTGAGCATGGGCCCAGCCACCCCGCCGCCTTAAAAGTAATTATCAAGATTTCGAAACTGTAGTTGTGCAGTTATGTAAATGAATTTCGTAGGTGTCTTCAGGCCTCCCCAGTGTCTTCAGGCCTCCCCACCTAGATATGAGCACCTGTATCTCAACACCTGTTACACCTGTATCCCAACTCCTGTATCACCTGTATCCCAACACCTGTTGCACCTACACCTCCACACTTGTGTTTCAATACCTGTATGAATCAAAACACCTGTACCTATGTAGATGTGATAGCATCTATGCAATTGATGATGGTGACCCTTGGCAATCATATCGGCCACCTGCATTTGTGCAACTTCATATGGTGATGACGATGGCGGTGGTGATGATGATGGTGATGATAACGGTGACAATGCTGCTGATGATGATGGTGGCAATGACAGTGGTGATGATGGTGGTGATGCTGAGTGGTAGATTATGTTGAATGTGATTTTTATGATGATGATAAAGATGATAGCCAACCAGACAGTTCTGAAACCGTTCTTGAAGGAGAACCCGTCGCAGGTGTTTTTGGGAAACAACTCATCTTGATCATCTTAGGTGTCTCAAGAGCAACTGTGGGATGGTTTGCAGAGATCTCGTCGCGAGAACAGTGACACAGTGGACCGGGGCAACTTGTCAAAATGGGACATTGGCTTTGTGCAACGCTGTGTGGCTATAGGTTTGCTGTGCCAATGTGAGGCCAGCTGGACGAGTTGCTGCAACAGCTTCAGCATATGCTTCCCTCAATTCCTGGCGAAGGAAGGATGCTAGCCTGTTTGCAAGCTTGGAAATCAGACGTGTCTGGCAATTTGCTCGAGATGCGCTCCTATTGGGGGCAGAACTCATTGGGGCTGAACGAAACTCAGACTGACATGTTTGCATTGGATGACTGTCCTCCGAGCTTCCAGGAGAGTGTGCACCTCCTCCACCCCCACCTCCACCGCCCCCTCCACCGGAGGCTTCAGAGAACGAGGTGCTTGGAGTCATTTGCTTTGGA